TGAAATAACTGAAGTATATAACATTAAAAGATAAAATGGTTTAATGTCACATTGCTGAGATTTTCACACACCCTGCTAGTCACAATTTACTTTTTGTTGCTAGTAGTTTTTGCCAAGTCCATTGATAAATACACGTGTACTTCATGTACAAAATCCTGACTCCTGATAGTAGAGGGTGTTCTTTATCTCAGTCGGTATAAAAAACAATCTAGTTCTCCTGGTGACTACTCTTCAAATTAAATGGAGTAAATGGGCTACAAACTCAAATGGGCTACAAACTTATTAGTAGATATGTTGATGACTCTCTTTGGACAGTCCTAAATTATATAACCTCCTATTGCCAATATCTGCATTTTGGAGAACGCTAGGGCAGACTTTTCATTTCTTTACATTGAATATCCCTTGATTTCAACAGTGAAGAGAAAATAATATATAGATGGAGACAGAATGTCTATTTTCAAAACAAGCATTATTTTGCACTTTTCTTAAGGAAGGGGTACATAAATCTGCATGAAAATATATGTATTCTAAGAGTTTTTGAAGTGGTTTATGAGTTAAGAGAGGAAGAAGAGAAAGTGCAAATAGGGCAGATTTAGGCTTGACTTATGATCTAAGCAATCGTATTAATTTCTACATAGTTGTGGATCGTGAAGTCCATTATTACTTATCCACCCCATAATAACTGGGTTAGGGCTATCCTGGTTGTGTATCTCTACACTAACTGTGGTCCCAACTTTGACTGCAGTTAATATACCTTGAGTCAGGTAAGCTGGTGCAGGAGTGGACAAAATGTGACAAAGCTTTAATGATGTAGTTTTTTATCAAGTTTTTATTTATGCTCATTTGCAATGTCCTGAGATACAAAACTCACTTACAATATTACCATTTCCAACTGTGAATAAGGCAGCTATCACAAGAAAAACTTTTTAGCACTATGCACCATTATGTATCCTATTTTTTATAATTTCGCTGTACAATGGCTATTTTGTTTTTTTTAAATGTCAGTTACCCTAACTCTTTTCCATCAGCATCTCTTCTCAGCTCCTGCTGTTTTTGCTTGATCCTACAAAGCGCTGAATGCCGACAACACTTAAGACTAAATGCCAGGAAAAAGGACCCAAGTGCCTAAGGAAGTAAAGTAATGCAATGCTTAACTTTTAAACATGTATATACTGGCGCAGAATCTAGAGCTCCATGTTGGAACCCTCCTTTGAAGGCAGTTATCTACAGGTTTTCTTATGTGCAAACCCATCAAAGAAGATGGCCAGAGGAGGAACTAGTGATGATGTTTCCCAGTATATACCACATTGACCTGAATCCAAGATGACCCAGAATTTAAGACCCCCCAATAATTAAATTCTATATATGGAAAATTTATAAATTTGTTATAAATTTTCCATATATTGAATCTCATGAT